CCACTTCTAGGAAGGATTTTCCTATGATGGCTGCGCCGGTAGGGGAGTATCGATTGTCCTGCCTGCACAGGATTGAAATTTACCTGGTTCAGAGATTATGATCGAGTTCCATTTCGCAAATGATAAAGAGTCGGGGAAGAAGAATTATGAGATTCATCTTGGTTGCTGGTAAACCTTCAAGTTGTCCAAAACAAGGGCCCTTTCAACAGGAGTCGCCGAGAAGGCCCCGGGAAATTTCGTTGGCACCGCCTACAGATAAATAGTTAGTTAGCTGTCGGGCACATATGAATAACAAAGCTTATCCTGCTAGCACTGGGAGAAAATGTTTCCTTTTAGCCTAGTGGAAAAGATCTCAGCTTGACATCTGGGTTCCCCATGAACAACACCATGCACAGGCTGTGGTTAATTACCTGGCAAAGACATAAATTTAATCTTAGACTCCGTTCACCTCTGATGGATCAGGGCTTGTAAACCCCAACCGGGATGGGCGGTTTCTCCTCCAGCGAACGGCGCCTGCGATGGCATTGCTCTCCAACCATATTGTGCAGGCGAGGATACTGGGAGAACGCACCGGGACCCTGTCTCTTGGTGCTTTATCCCCAGACTGCCCTGTCAGTTCAACGATATCGATGATGGCGACCCAGGAGTCCAGGACGTGGATATGCCAGCAACACCTGGGCGACAGCAGGACAAGAAAGCTGCAGTCTCCCGAAGTTCCAACGTTCTAATGACAATGATACCAGTTAAGTCTTTGTAGTTTCAACTTTTTGTCATCAGTATTGATGGGCTACTTAGGGAGTAGTCTTCTGCATTCCTCGGGATTCAGCACGTTACGCAGCGTAGGAATATGCCCGCCACATACCATCCGGAGACATAAATGATGATTACCCAGGCATTTCCGCTTATATTCGGGTAGTTAACCCGGGGATTCTGATGCTCTGGCCCTGGAGTGTTCGTTGACTGATTGACTTGACCATTGAATGAACGAATCCTGGCGTTTTGTTGTGTTCTCCAACCTCGCCATCAAAATTGTCAGCACTGGCGATCTACACCGGACTATGTCGTACAGAGCAAATAGTACAGCACGACGAGGCTTGAAGAGAAAAAACCCCCCGTGCTTACAGAACCAATGATGACCTGTGGACTGCGTGCTGTCACTGCTGTGTATCACCAGAGACCGTCTGAACCCGCGACTGGGTTCCCGCCATTGATCGACTTGGGCTGTGATCGGCCCTGGGCCAGGGGGCGAACATGCTACTACTAATAATAATACCATCTCCACTACGACTGAGCCGTGGTTTTCAGCTTCGGACGCGAAGATCCATCTGCCATCCGCTCATGGGAGGCGGCGGGTGCCAGGTTCAGTTTTGAACGCTGTGCCGAGTTCGGAATTGGATGTGCATCATAATGCGCAAGACTTCTTAATTGATAAAGATCGTATCCCTGCGAAGTGTTGTTGCTACCCTTCACCCCTTCACTGACCTGACAGTGGTAAGAACATATTAACAATACTAGCAGCATCTCTATTGACTGCCGATTGTTATATAGGCTACCATGCTCCCGGCACTGTTGTTCGCTCCTTGACATTTTGTCATTCAGCACTGGATGGCCCAGGCTCTCTCACAATATATAGACCATTTCCCGGCATCCACAAAGCAAGCCATTTATCTGAGAACACCTAGTTGTCAAGCAAGGTTAAGGGAACACAGCGCAAAATGGTTTCCTCCAACAGAGGAGACGTGGAGCGCAAAGCCATGGTGTCGGATACGGACAACACTTCTCCCCACCCATCAGAGATGCTGCCAGAGGAGCGGACAAACTTGGACCGGAAGCTGCTGCTCAAGCTTGACTTTCTCCTGGTGCCGATGATGGGAATGCTTTATTTGCTTTCTTTCCTCGACAGAGCTAATATCGGGAATGCCCGTGTGGTACGTGTCAAATCATCTCTAAACATGCTACTCTAATCGCTTGGAATGTTCTATGGCGGAAAAAAATGTGCTGATGGGGCAAAATCGCATATAGGCTGGGCTGCAAAAAGATCTAGGTATCAGCGACTTGCATTATCAAACAGGTGAGGGAATTAGTTCATTTAAAAATGAAAGAAGAAATAGAAAAACGCAAAGCAAAGCATCTCTTTGAAGTGGCGAAATGGATTTCCTTCTGCTAACTCAAGAATAGCTATCACGGTGACATACGTTCCTTACATAGTCACTGAGCTGCCATCAAACCTTCTCATCAAAAAGATCGGACCCCGCATCCTTCTTCCAGCCCTCTGTGTATGCTGGGGCATTGTCACCACTCTCCAGTCGCAAGTAAATAACTACTCAGGCCTTATCGCCGCTCGTTTTTTCCTCGGGATGCTCGAGGGCGGCCTATTCCCCGGTATCGTCCTCTACCTATCCTCTTTCTACCGCCGCCATGAACTCCAAATGCGCGTCGGCCTCTTCTTCTCTGCTGCAGCGCTTAGCGGCGCCTTCTCCGGCCTCCTCGCAGCAGCCATCCAAAATATGGAAGGTCTGCGCGGCCTCCGCGGCTGGCAATGGATTTTCCTCCTCGAGGGCCTTTTCACGGTGCTCTTCGGCATATTCTCCTTCTTAATGCTCCCCAACGACCCCAGCCAAGTGTTCCTCTTCAGCCCCGAGGAGGTCGAGCAGTGTACGCGCCGCCTAGCCCAAGACACCAACCTCCCAGACAATGAGACCGTAACCCTCAACCGTGTCCTCTCAACCTTCAAGGACCCACACATCCTTAACTTGTGCGCCGTCCTTTTCTGCAGCGGTATTAACCTCTACGGCCTCTCCTACTTCACGCCCTCCATCGTCCAAGCGCTCGGGTACAGCCCCACCAAAACCCAGCTTCTAACCGTCCCCCCATTCGCCTGCGCTTTTGTCGCAACCATGATCGCCGCCTATTTTGCAGACAGGTACAAGCAGCGCGGCATCGCATCGATCTGCACCAGCACCATCGCACTCGTCGGCGCGGAGCTGGGTCTCAAGGGCCGCTCGATCGCCAGCAGGTACGCCTCGATCTTCCTCCTCGTCACGGGAATCTATGCCACGGCACCTAGCTTCATAAGCTGGATGACGAACAACACGTCCGGCCATGTTCGTCGAGCAAACGGCCATTGCGATGGCCTTCGTCAGTACCAATTCGGGGGGAATTGTCAGCACCCTGGATCTACCCGCGCAAGGATGCGCCGTATTACGAGTTTGCGGCCAAGTTTAATTTAGCCGTTCTTGTGATTACGATTATGTTGTGCGGTGTGCAGGTGTGGTGGCTAATGACGCTGAATCGAAGGAAGAAGGAGAAGCCCGATGAGGTCCTGGGGGATGTGGCGGGGATGGGGTTGGAGGTGCAGTTGGATAGGTTAGGAGACCGGCATCCCGAGTATAGGTATACATACTAAGCTAGAAGGGGTGGGAGGAATTTATTCTAGCGGGATGGAGATTGTGCGACGGGAAAGGGGTGTCCTTCTTCTAGAAAAAAAAAAATATACTGCAGCTGTGTGGTTGCAATTTACTGGTCTAGTCTTTGTGTATATGTGTATAAACAAAAGTTCACCTGCCCTTCCTTTGTTGACAGAAAAAAAAACTGAAAATCCAATCTCATGATCGAATCTGTGCATCTTCTTATCTCTACAGAGTATTCTACAAACGCTTCTCCCAGCAAGCCCATTCTCAATAACGAAGCAATATCAACGAACTGCAGAGCCATATACACACTATTAGCCTGCAACGGCAAGAGACTCACAAAACAGGCGCTAAATAACTAGTGGAAATGCTTAATTAAATTTCTCCTCCATGCCCTCCCGCTTGAATGCATAAGCGCTTACAGCTAAAAATAGTTCGATTGCACTACTGCTACAAAAGGAAATACCCCCCAAGTATACTCCGTACGGAGTACGCATATGTTCATCATCAGGCTTCCTCTCGCGCCATCGGGGTCCCGTTCCGGAGTTCCGAAAGGACACGACGTGCGTTGGAAGATGCAATAATAAATCAGCACCGTACCCAAGAATTGTTTTGATTTTGCAGGACGCAACAAGTTCCAAGCATCAATCCATGCGCCGACAAACTCATCCCATGTTTTGAAAACCTTCCGTTGCTAGCAGATAACAACAATGATTATCTGAAGAAACTCACCCCAATCCCCTTGCCAAATATTCCAGAAACATTCGTCCTGTCCCGTCCTAAGTCCCCCTCTCCCTGAACCGCAACTTCAAACGCTACTTCACCTTCTGCAACATGGCCTATAGCCATGGTGGCTCGATATACAGCGAACATGTCGAGCCCTCCTCTCTCCCATCAGTCCGTTCCTAACACGAACCATATTATTTCGTAACAGCCATTTTTCACAAGGAAGTCCTTCATGCGCATTGCCGAGACAGGCTCCGCAACGCAATATAGCGAGCAGCCCTGCGGGATCATAGCTTACGGGTTAATTGGTGAAGCTTTCGATGCGGTAGCCCGAGGTTGCTCGAATGCACAGGGAGCGGTCATAGATGGGTCCCTGCTGCGGAGAATGTGTTAAAAACAAAAAAAAAAAAAAAAAAAAAAAGTGAATTTCCGTTCCGGAGCATTGGAGATCTGGAACACATGCCAACGGACATGCCACTGCTTCCGCAAATCCACCGAAGATTAAAGTGCTGAAATGTATGTGTCGAAGAGAGCTGCAAGAACCCTATCCCATCAGCGAGCAATCATCCAATGAGGCAAGAACTGCGTCCTATCAACCTCAAAGGTTCGCTGATTGCCGAAAAGTATACTCTCCTCGCTTTTTCCCGTCTGTCCCCTGGAGTGGGAGCAGCAGTAGCATTGGGAAGAGCAATTTTGTTGTGTTGTGTTTTGATCTTTTGCCTTATGGGCGGACCCTCACCCAGCTCGGAGACATCGCAACTGGAGGGGCATGATACAAGAACAGGCAATAAATATAGTCACAATATCTTGTTACCACTCGAGATGACAAGACGGGGAAATATAATACAGGTGATTCAGGCTGGACTGCTCAGGTAGCAAAGGCATTCTTGATTTCTAAAACGACGCATACCTTGATAGAGGAGAGGAATTTCAAGTTTGAGGGGAGAAATTAAGGAGGCAAAATTCCTCTCCTCTGCCTTGGGCATTTTTCTGCCTTTTGATACCTTGCTCTGGTCGCGGTTCTAACACTCTTCCTAAGATAGATGGACCTTAGGGACATGTCGACTGAAGGGTTTTCCTTATGTACGGAAGCATGGGGCGCGGATCAATTGAGTCTGGAGCCTGAATGAGAAATTGGAAAGTTATAGTTAATGATTAGACAGCAACTCCTGCAGTTGGTCACATTTTACGGGTTTTCTAACATAACGGCAGGATATAATTGTGATGGAACTGTTCGAATCCGGTTCGTTTGGTTGCGCGACGTTATTCTTTGGTCAAACGACAATTAATTCCTCCAAACAAGATCTTTGGAAAGCAGGCAGTGCCCACTTGACCATCCACTTCTGACTTTAATACTTGTTCAGCTGTGACTCTTTCTGCGGGCACAAACTTCAACATTTGTCGTCGCAGATTCAAGATGGCCTGTCTCTCATCACTCGCAAACTCTTCCATTTGCTCCTTGCGACGCCAATGCTGCACCTGGTGTTCGAAACCGTCCTTGGGGAGTGGGCCATCGATACCTGTCTGGTATTGGTTCCCCATTGTTGTCAAAGAATATGTCACGGCCGTCCCATTGCTACCACCAGCTATCTGGCAAATCGATGCTGTCGGGTCCGGCGCGGAGAACGTCGATATATTGGGAAACGAGTTCATCCGGACAAGAGATCTCCGTGGTAAAGAGTGATTTGAGTCCAAGAATTCGCCAGATGGGCAGACCCAAAGACCAGATATCAGCAGCAAATGATTAAGGACTATCAGGCTCGGATCTGGCCTCAGGTGGACTGGTTCCGAGAGGAGTGTGACTGTTTTGTGCCTGACGATGATGAGATGCTGGAGCGAATGCCTCGCCAGAGCCACTGAGTAATACTCTGGCATCAGCGAGGGTAAAACTGGTCCGCTGTTATTCGGCTAATATATATTGGAGTGAATGCCATCGGCGGGATATATGATGGAAGTGGTTTTCCATCACATTGCTCAACAGGGGTAAGGTCTGGATCTCCATAATTTTTATATGGAAGTCCTCAATGGAAAGAGAGTCGAGCCGTAGCGAAACTTTACAAGAATATTTCGAATATATTCATATGAATTTCAATTAGCTTTGATAAGCAAAATGGCATGCCAAAAAGACTCTTCAGAGGTGGACAAACATTCAATGGTGAGAGAGTCCAAGGGCGCAAAGAAATCGAGCAAGTAACTTAGAGCGTAACATCATACAGAATGACTGAAGAGTGGCCAACTGTCTCTTGCTCCGAAACCGGAGTCCAACGCTTCAAAACATCGTGTTGAGCGGTTTGCCTGATCAGGCTCAATGATGTATCCTCAAGTGAGTTCCTCTGAATCACTTTTACCTTTTTTTTTTTTTTTTTTTTTAAATTACATCTGTAAGAATTTAATGTGTGTATAGTTAACTAGAAAAAAGTTCTCTTACATTTCCCTACCTCATCCAACAAAAAGTAAAGCCAGTGGCAATTGCAATTTTGGTTGGAAATAAATATAATAGTAAAGCAGGGAGAACAAATGAAAAAGAAATATGAAATGGATGAAAATAGAACAGAAAAATGAGGGGGAAAAAAGAAAGGAAAAACAAGAGTAACTAATATGCATAAGAGACTTAACGGAGAATAGATAAGATAGAGTGCAAGAGTAGACCACTGAGGCCACTTTTAAGTATGGAGAACAGTTTCAGTCAAAGACCGTTTAGTAAACCACAGGTGTGGCGATGCATACCACT